AAAAGAATAGAGAAGAGAATGGAAGATAAAGGAAGAAAGAGAGCCAGCGCAAAAGTGAAAAAAGCGATAGAGAGAACCAAATCAAGATAGCTGAGGTGAGAGCGAGAGAGAAAATGAGTAAGTTGAGGAGAATGAAAGAATGAGATAGAAAGTGAAAAAGAGAAATGGATAAAAAGTGAGAAAGACCGCGAGTGGAAGAAAGAGAGAGCGAGGAGTAGAGGGTCAGAAAGGGAAATAGAGAAAGATAGAGAGAGAGAAAGAGTGAGTAGAAGAGAGTCGCCTCGATGAGACTGGTGCTGTGGATTGGCTGGGAGAGTTTCGAAGAGCAGCAGTTGAGATTCGGTGAATGTCTTTGGCTAAACTTGTTGTGCAGCCTTTGATGCATGATAAGAGCGCACGTGATGAAGCGATTCGTTGTTGCGTCTCACCCGAAGACGGTTGCTCATTCGCGTCGTAAGATCTCCTCACGACGTTCAGAAGGACGCAGTCCTCGAGACAGGCTCCCTCGTTTCGGGTGCACCAGAAGCGGACTGGCTTTCGTCCGCGGTGCCAGTGGACACGCGTGGCCACAGCTCCAAGTTGACGGTCCAAGTCAACAAGACTGACTAGCATGCACCGCGATTCGAAAGGAAAGTCTGCACAATCAAGTCATGTCAAGAAGGACATGGAAACTCAGCTGCTCGTCATGGCTATTGCGTATCCGTTTGCTCTTGGCAAGAGAGTCACTTGATCCGGCGCGAAAAAGAGGCCACGAGGCTTCTGAAACCCGATCCGAATGATTGCCGAACAGGCTCTTTCAGGTGCTGGGCTGCTGCTTTCACCTCGCCACTCACACCATCGAAAGTAGAAATGAAGGTGGGTTGACCTCGTTGTCGCAACTTGGTCTTGTTGTCAGGGCGACTATGTAGAACTCATCTAGTCCGAAGTAGTTGTCATCATTCCCAGCATCATGAGAATGTACGAAGTCGACTGTATAATGCTGGGAATCATGACAACTACTTCGGACTAGATGAGTTCTACATAGTCCCCCTGACAACAAGACCAAGTTGCGACAACGAGGTCAACCCACTTCTCTAAATCGAAAGAAGACTGCAACCAATACAGAGGCCACAACATCTCAGTCTTGATATCTTCAATTTCCAAATGATAGCTTCTTACTTTTCCTTTCATTAAGTTCATTTCCAAGACATACATTCAAGTTGGTTGGTATATTTCGTTTAAGGTGGAGAGGGGTTGATATTCTGGAAATATTGCTTATAAAAAAGAACGATAAATAGCGCAGTCAATTGTTTTAGTGAATTGAAGTCTGCTTCATCGGAAATCCCACCATAAGACGGAATATGATCAAATCGAAGGGACAGTCAATTCTGGGAATCATGACAACTACTTCGGACTAGATGCCTTCTACATAGTCGCCCTGACAACAAGACCAAGTTGCGACAACGAGGTCAACCCACTTCTAAACATCGAAAGGAGACTGCGACCATATCAGAGGCCACAACGTCTTGGTATTCATATCTTCAAAAGTAGAACTAGTTTGGCGGCACCAGGCGATATCATTTTGGAGGCATTCCTGCTGGTCATTTGGTTTGATCACTTCTCGGCGAAATATTGTTCGCTCAACCAATGCCGCATGCCGATTGTTGCTGGGCGGGGCTGTTCTGTGTGAGTATGTCGGTTTGGGTCACTTCAGGTGGCTCATGTGTTTTCACCCTTTGGCAGTTCAGGTGAAAAGCGTGTGAAGGGACTGGCAGTTGAAATGGTTCACAATCACGTGATTAGACCTGACGCTTCCATTCCATTTCACTAAGTCGTAATTGCCAAAAGACATTCTG